AAGAGGTGTACTCCAGATGGCCAAACACACGCACTTTTATGAGCGGTATGTCATATTCAGTTCATTCTGTTTACTTGAGAGCCTCCTTAATATTTTAAGTGTTTAAGCTGCAAACATAATTAAACAACCAGGAGGATGAATAAAAGCCCCCTTAACGATCGCACTGCAGCCTTAAGGCTGATTTATACTTTGAAACTAGGTTGTCTGCATAGATGTCGCGGTGAACGCAGAGATATCCCCATCCCTTCCGCAGACACTCTGCTGCACCTGTCCCAAATTGTATGTGACCGCAGACAGTGCCTTAGACAGGAGGCCTCTGATTGGTCAAATCTACATCCGCTCTAAACTCTGCGTCTCCTGTTTGTTACCTTACCGGCTTGTTTTGTTTGTATTTCTGTGTTTTAATTGATCCTATTGCACCACCTGCATGTTCCTTCTGACAGATTATGAATGGATTTAGTACGAAATGGTCTGTGACAATCCTCTCTCATCATACCGCTACACCGCTTTCCATTTTTTTCTTTTTTTTCTTTCCCTGTCTCTTTCCTAGTGTTTATTTCTCTAAACGTCTGTCATTCTCCGCCCCACCCTACTTTTTGCCCTGTGATAGAATTAGGGATTCTGTGAACCACGGTGTGTGTGTTTCCTGAAGGAATTATTATTAAGGAGCAGCAATTGCAGAATGTAGAATGGAATATACCCAAACAGTAGGAAGCTGTTTAAGAGACATGAAATCCCAGAAATGGTCCAAGGTGTTGTCAGTAGGATTGGATGACAGTTTGGTGTCAGTTTGGTGTGCAGGTCTAGATATCTCTAAGGAATCAAGATATAAATATAAATAGTTTATATTGAAAATTGACCTTTGGCTCTTCATGTGTGGCTGACTGCAACTGAGATTCATTATTACCATTCCACCGCATTTATGTTAAGATATATATTTAAATTTTAAATTCAAGTTCAAAGAAATGATTTGCTGAGGAAGAGCTTCCCTCCACTCACACTTGTGGGGCCCTGTATGATGTAGCAGTGTTTTCTTGCAGCAAGAAGGTCATGGGTTTGATTTCCAACCAGGGTATTTCTGGATGCATGAGTGTGCATGTTCTCCCTCTTTTTGTTTGGGTTTTCTCCAGGTACTCTTGCTTCCTCCCACAGTCCAAAACATGATTGTTAGGTTGATTGGCATCTCCAAACAGCCTTTACTGCTCAGGATAGACACAAGCTCCACCGTGAACAAGACGGACGGATGGATGGATGGATGGATGGATGGATGGATGGCATGTAAGATAAGTGGAGCTGACAAGCAAGCCATCTCTTAATACAAAACCATTGGCAGTTTTTACCTAAAGGCTCCACTTTTTACTGCATCATGCCCAATTCGTCTTCGTGTTTATTCCATGCTTTTCATCTACCTGTTTAAATCACAGTGAAGAAGCAGCAGTGGTGGATTAAGCTTCTTTCTAGACCTTTAATTTTAACCACATACAACACTTACTATTACAAGGAGAATTGATAGAATCTGTTATCTCATGTGATTTACAAACATACAACACAATGGAAAGTTCTCTCTGGTGTGATCCCTTAAATCATTGTGGATTGTGGCTATTCCTGAATTTAAAAAAATGCTCCTGATACCACTACCTCCATAGTTTCTAACTGGTAGGTTTTTCACAGAGATGTGCTGATTGCCTTTACAGTTTTGCTACAAAACCTGTGATTTTGAATGTATGCAACAAGTGAAGTTGAGGAGTTTACAATTAATCAATTATCATTTAGGATTTTTTCTCCACCTATTCATTTCAAGATGCAAATTGCCTGCTTAATGAAATTACATTTATATCTAGAAGGCACTATTGTATTGGTTTTCATTAAAATGCTTTTAGTTTATTGTTAACTCGTTTTAGTTTTATCTCTCAAAGAGCTCTAACTTTTATTTTGCACATAATTTTTCATTTTAATTGTTCTGCTTTGTGAAACCTTTTAGAGGAACTGTGTGATATGTTTTGCAGCCGTGTTTGGTTCATTACAGTCGTTTTCATGTAAATGCTTTCTGACCTAATCCATCCTTTTTAATATTCATGCACTAAAACAATCCTTTATTTTACCACACTGAGGCCATTTCTTTACATTTGGCATGGTCTGTGTTAAATCTAATTTGTGCAGGATGGTGCTGAGAGACCCAGGAATCCCCTGCAGCTTTGGAGGAGGAAGAAGAAGAATGTGACCCTAAGAGGTCAGTGGTCCCCTCTCCCAGGTTACAGGGGCTCCTGCACTCGGGCTGGACCAGGGTCACAGGTCAGCAGGCTTGCTCATTCAGCTCTGCGCTGGCGCCTGCCGGCACAGCCCTCAATTTGTAAAGCAGGAGAGGGTGACCCCAAAGGGCCTCTGCTGGCTTCCCAGGCCAAACATAGGTCTTAAACACTACCAGCCTCCCCCTGAAGCTTCCCATCTTCCCATTAACTCCCTGCTCTCAAGAACCAGGACTCATGAGCCTAATACACATGCTCAACACTGGCCCATCCCAAATAAGAGGAATTACCAAGCAGGCGCGAAGCGGCAAATATAAGGGGGGGAGCAGGTACACTGTTGTCTTTGCTTCATTACTTTATGAGTTTACATAGGATCATATACAGCTTGGATAGTGGCACACTTGAATACTTAACACTATGACCCACTCTGTAAATAATTTAATCCAGAGTGCCTACTTTTGCAGTATTTCAGAGTTATTTTTTAAAGTTAATTGGAGCTGTTTTTTTTATATTTTAGCTCTCACATATCTAAATACTTTAAAAAGTACAATTACCTCTTGTGAGAATGGATCCCCCTGTTAAGCTAATCTCTTCCCTCTGCTGTGGAAAAAGCAAAAGAAATATTGAGCATATGATTGCCTACTCCTGTGTTAGCTGCCAGTCTCTCTTTCCACTGATGAGACAGACTGAACTGATACTGACTGTTACAGAGAGACCAATTATCCTGACCAATGAGGACAGGCCTCTGACAGCATAATTACAGGCAGCTTTGCCTTGCAGCAACCATATGCCTGGCCATAGCCACCAGTCACCCAAAGGGCTGGAATAAGAGTCAAGAGAGAGGTAGAGATGGAACAAGTAGGTTTGTTTTAATTTATTCACTAGGACCAAGTATCATGTCTTGTCCCTGTAAATGAGGGATTCTCCATGCACTGCCGTTAACCTGAACTGGGGCCTGATTTGGCCCAGCTGGAGGAAGCAGGCCATCAGAGTTCACTTGGTGCAGACAGAAGTAAAGTAAACAGCCGTGGTCACTAGGCAGGCCGTTAGCAGGCCTCGGACAGATGAGCAGGGGGCGGGAAGACCACACACATACACTTAGTAACAGACCACACAGGGGTCCGAGCACAGGGGCCTATACACGCAAGCACACGCCCCATCGCAGGGTTCCCCTGTGGGCAAAAACACACTGCAGGTCAGGGCAAAGAAGCACAGAGAATCAACAGACTGGCACAGAGCTGGGCTCAGAGAGTGAGGACGAACTCTGACACCGGGTTCTGCTTGTGAGAAAACAAAAAATAGGCTCACCCGACCTGCTGACTACAGACCTAATCCCTTTTAGACAGCGACACCATAAACACAAACAGGAAGAAAATCACAAGTATGCTGCTGTTCTGCAGCCAAATCTTAAAGGGCACTTTGGAGAGTGTGTCCACCTCCGCATTGGAAGTGTATTTTCAATTCTGGTGAAAAACATGCTTCCCAAGTAATTCCAAAAGATCTTGAATCTGTAACTGGTTTAAAAACGAACAATAAAAAAAAAACTTGTCTGTTTACTGTTTTTTTAAAGATGTTGGGTTTTAATCAAAGCTTGTGATCTCTCAAGCGTTGTGTAGGCAACTGATTTAATCCTCAATGTCCGCAGTTTGTCCGGCCAGAACCATAATCACAGACGTCATTTGCACCCATGCCACTCTTTATTGAAGTTGTGCTGATTAGGATGATAATTTTTTATAGCTCTCTTTGAGTTGATTTGACTGTATGATCTGGTAAACTGTAAAGTGCCTTGAGATGACACGTGTGAATTGGTGCTATATAAATAAACTGAATTTAATTGAACTGAGTTGACTATGGTTTATGGTTTCTACAAAATACAAAAGTAAACTACAAAATTACAATAAGTAACTGAAGAAGCAATCTGAGCATATACAATTTATCTAGAATAGAAAGCTTTCCAATGGTCTTTAAATGCTACGTCCTTAAAGATGTGAAAGTCCACATTAGACAGAAAAAAGGTTGCTGTCGTCTGCTGACCGTTACCTGTGAACTAAGGACAGATAGCTCTCTTTAAGAGAAAGGTGAGGTCTGATTGGTTGTTATCTGGTAGCCATTTCATAAAGTATTATAGGCTGCTGATACATTCAAAGCGTTAGGAAACAAAAAAAACATCAAAACCTTATCAACAGCATCTATTCCTAAAAGAATATTTGACATAAAGTTGGTTGATACACATTTTTTATTTAGAAAATCTACTTCTTGGTACCCTTAAAATTCAGGAAAACAGATATATTGAGGTTGATGATGAATAAACATTTTCTCCAAAAATGAACCAAAAACTTTCAGCATTAATTTTGGAATGAACCACCTAGCTGTTACGCAGAATGACAGAAAAAGACAGAAAAAAAAAAGCTTATCATGCTCCACAAATCTTTTAAACACACAGGTTAGGAGCTTGGCAAACACATTAACACTCCAAGGCTAAACCCAAATAAATAAAGTGTATACAACTTTTACACACAGACAACACACACCCCGGGGTTCTCACTTTCCTCAAGTCCACATAACCATCAGTCTTTTTTCTTTATCTGGACAGTGTCAGAATGACCCATGGGAGAGCCTGTGCAAGTGTGTGTGTTTGTCTGTATCACCCTGACATAGGGTGGGGTGAGGAGTAGCGCTCTCAATCACAATTACTCCCCGCTGCCACCAGTCATGCTGCCTGCCTCACATCATCTCACCATGGTAGTACTCACATGCACGCACACACGCAGAGAGGAAAAGAAAAGGTCAGCGTTTTCTCTCGAAAGACAAGATGTTCTGTAAGCCTGAGCTCACCTCCACCAAGGATCCAGTGCAGCTGTCAGAAGGATCAGGCAGGGCCGCCCTGCACCATCTGCCCGTGTACAACACACCACCGACCTGTACAGTGGTAATCCTCGGCACCCTGCCTGCTCTTCTTTCAAAGCTTATCTCTCCCGTTTAATACCACATTTATGATAACGATTGACAGGTAGCTTTGGCTGCCTTGTCTTCGCATCTGGCTTTTATCTCATAAGGTACGAGGCTGCATTTTTTTGTGTTATCCCAGGAAGGCTGCTAACTTTCAGAAATCCTAATGACTGGGTGGGCAAAGCTCTTAGGAAAAAGATTTTCTGGCTTTTTATGAAAATATGTCAAATAGCAGTGGGATATGCTGCTGATAATCATTTATTTAAGATTATCTGGAGTTTTGCATGTCAATGATCCAGTGCTGAATTGTCATTTTGACCTTACAATGATCGACAAAAGCTTACTGTTTTTAAATTTGCAGATGCTGACAGTTTTTGTCTGAATGTCAAGCTGAACAGGGACATGGATATGGTTCAGTGTCTGGACAAGAAAGGTCAGGGGCCGCCATTTAAGGTCATGACTGCAGGTCGGAGGAAGAGAACTGAAAACAGTGCAAAGGAGGTAGGTGGGGGAGTGATTTTTGTGTGATACTGGGTTTCAATTGAAGTTATGAGGAGTCTGGGGACAGAGGCTATCAGGGGATACCTGGACACTTAACTGCAGGGGAAGAAGCTGTTGAAGGTCATGAAACAGTAAAACATAAATGTCTGTCTGGCAGAAGGGAACAATAACGCAGACTTTGTCCTTCCTGTCCTGTGGCATTCATCCTGGTTCCAGACTTTCAGTGTGTACAAATAATAATCAGTCAGAGGGCAGATAGTAATAATTACAATAAATAAAACTAAAAATATATTTGCAATAATTCTTAGCAGAATGTGAAATATATATTTAGTATGGGCCTACATATATATTTGTATAATAGTAATATGCCAGATTCTACTTACTTGGCATGCAAGAAAGGCATTTAGTTTACTGGTGTACCAGGATTTTCTGAGATCTTGACAGAGATCAAACAAAAGAAAGAACATTTTCCATCGTCAGATGTACAAGTGTCTGGTGAGACTGGGATCCTAATTAAATGACTGAAAGGCTTTGGCTGTGATTCTTCCATTGTTCCTCCAGACAGGAGAAATCCTGACTTCTATAAATTGGTCCTTAATAAGACTCATGTAGGCCACATCCTTTTGACCCCACACATCTCCGAGCTTGTATCTCAGTTCCTTTGCGGAAAAAGGAGCACTGATGAGGAAACTTTGCAGGGGGAGAGGAGCTGGGGTGGAGGAAGGCACTGGAGAAGTGACTCATTTGATGTCTGAAAGGAGTGAATGTGGGCCCAAAATTCTTCCACACATCAGCTCTTGAAGCTGCCGCCAAAGTGCTGTCAGGTGAGATGCAAAAAAAGAGAAAATACTGGCGACATAATTACAGTACTCTCCCTCCTCTTTGTCCTTTTGATAATAATAGTAATTATTATTATTATTAGAATTATTATGATCATTATTGTAATCACAGCAGCTATTTTTGACTAATTCATACCTATATCTATCAATAGAACATGGATTCCAGTTAGGCATTCTTCGTGGTGGTCAGGTCCACCTCCTGGGTGTGGGTTTTTTTTAATACTCAGGCTTGTTGGATGGAAAATATTCTGTGTTTCTGGCGTTCAGAAGCAAAATATCATCAAACTTTTACAGCTTTCCAGATGACTGATACCTCTCTCTGGTTTTTGTTTGCCTTCTAACATGCCCACCAGCGACAACGCCCCATAAATTTTATGTGCCACATTTTCGCATAAAACATGTATGCCCTAAAAATAGCACATCAATTCCAACAAATGATTTTTTCCCACAGTAAATTAAAATATTCAAACGTGGACAAAACATTTTATTTTCCCCTTTAAAATCTCCTATTGGGGTAATTTGTGAACTTCTAGATGCATTTTTAATGAAGCCTTATATTACTTTTCACTGGTTGGCTAATGGGATTTTTGGCATCTACATCTATCTATCTATCTATCTATCTATCTATCTATCTATCTATCTATCTATCTATCTATCTATCTATCTATCTATCTATCTATCTATCTATCTATCTATCTATCTATATATCTATCTATCTATCTATCTATCTATCTATATATATATATCTATATATATATATATATATATATATATATATATATATATATATATATATATATATATATATATATATATATATATATATATGTGTGTATATATATTATGCCTATTTTATTATTTGTTTCATTTACAATGATCCACCCCTTTAAATCCTCAAAATACAAAAAGCTCAAATCTGTGGATTTTGGTCTAAGGTCTGCTAATAAAACCCTCTAGATGGCGTTAACATGCTAATCTGTGGGTTTTTATGTCAAAACAATTGACTGAATTAGGAAAAATCAGAGAATGGGAACCTGATTGAGTCACAAACTGTATTTTTTGTTCTTATCACGAAAATCTTATTTTTGTTACTTTGAAACAATTTTTAAACAATATATGTTTGAATCAAAAAAGATTTAATCCCAAAACATTGGTCATTCTTTGCTTGCAGGCAAGCACACACTCATCTACACACACCAACACGCACTGATCAGGCCGCCATGCCTGTTGCCCTTTTACATATATGTGCATATCTATAGCACTAAATGCTCATCCTTTTATCATCAGTCTGTCAGCTGGCAGCATATGATGTGATCTAATTCAGCCCTGTGAAGATGTGGGCTGCTGTGGGAGCATTAAGCATCTTGCAGACCTCTTCTATGTAATGATTTGGGGGTCTCAGGGTCCCAAACTGCATGGCTGTGTGGTCCTCAACAGACGCAGTAGACTGAGAGAAAAGCAGAATGCCCTACCCCCCCTACCCCCGTCCTCCCTCTGGGACAGAAACAACATTCATTCTCTGGATCAAATGGCAGTATAACACGCCAATTGACGTCAGAAACAAAAGAACTGTTGTGTTACTTAGTATCTAGCAGACAAGAGCATTTGAACAACTTATAAGGTCAGTGTTAACAGAGTGAAGGGGCTGTATTATATATGTGGCTTCCTCGAACTATTGTTTAGTATATAGCTATATTTATGTTCATAAACCAACCCGATACACAACATATGATTAATAATTTAATCTAAAAATCTATAGTGATCCCTATCACACCATAAAAGGATTTAAGAAGGACCCATTACACCCTCCTGGATTTTCGTAATTTTCTGTATACGGTAGGTCTTAAAATTACGCACAACTTTAAGATGATAAGGTTGATCAAATTTAACAGATAATGTTAAAAATGTCATGGGAACTGTTAATTGAATGCCAAATTCATTGCTGATTTACCCAATAAATGACGGAAGACCAAAGACATTTAATTAATTAATTTCTTTGTTTCTCAATAACTTCTAAAAAACAAACGATTTGACTCCTTTTAAAATTCTTACTCTATACTTACTATTTATTGCTCCAAAGTGTATCTTAAAAAAGGGAATCTAGCATAATTTTGATTTAGTTTCCTCTTTTACCAGAATAGCCATTGATATAATTTAAATAACTGTCATAGGCCTAGTCCACATGAAAACCAACACTATATCTTTTCATAAACTACTAAGATAAAAGGTTTGTCCATAAAAGTACATGCAGAGCCACTCAAAATGAATCCTTTGATTGCCAAGTGACAATGCCATAGAAACAAACCAGAACTAAAAAAGCAGGTATGGTCTGTTGACTCCGTCTGGGTGATGGTCTAGCTAAAATGTTGTAGTCTTGTTTTACTGGCTCAAACTCTCCCAGTGGAGCATCATGCACTGAAACCAACCAACATGCTGCAGAGTAATGCTTATGCACAAGTCATACAATATTTTCCTTAAAGTTTTATGTTTTCTGTGTTTTGATAGAAAAGCGTAAAATAAAAAAAAAAGTTTTGAAGAAGGTGTGGCTAATTTGCATTTGCAGGAATGAATATTTAAACATCAGAAGGACCAACCTAGACTGTCAATGCAGAATATATTTGTCAATTTAAAATTTGAAATGTTTTCATAACCAGTTGCCAGTTGTAACTTGTAAGTAAACTTATAAAATAAAACAGAAAATATAGGCAGTTATTTTCTCTGCAATTTAACAAAGTTCATAAACACCAGATTTAAATTAGAATATCTTGTGTTAGCAGAAGAAGATTTTCATGTGCCACTTTCTGTCAGTCAAAAGTTTTGACATCAAGACCATCCTTCACAATCCAGACAGGAGATTTTCCTAGATCAGGGCTGTGATGTTATAATGAAAGGCAGAAAAAGGGATACTGGTGTAGGTTCCAGGTGCTGCAGAATACATAAAGTCAAACCAGGCACTTTCTAATTTTTGCTGTTTGCCATCTTTATTAATTTTTTCCCCGATAACAAATATGCTGATATTTTTACAACCTAACAAATATCACAGGTGTTTCCTTAACAAGGACTCCAAAACTATTTAAATAACAGGTTTCAGAAATATTGACAGTTATCATGAGTAGGGAGAAGGTTCTTATATAATGAATAATTTACTAATGACAAATAAGTCCAAAGCGTAGAAAAATTACAACATTTACAATATAGCAAAAAAAAAAAATGCAAACTAGAACACAAATCCAATAAAATATCTCCTGGGGCTTCACAGCAAAAAAAAAGAACAGTAAAAATAGTTTTCCCTTATACTTCAAATGTCTGTTTTTAACCATCTTGTTTTTCTGACTGCTAGTTTGTTTACATTTTTAGAACATATGGCATTGTCTTTTTTCTGCTGATGTCGGTTGAAGACCATAATCCGTGGAAGTCCCTTAAGGTGTTGAAAGAGGTCGCAGAAAAATAGAAGTCTGCTCTGACCCATCACAAAGAGAAGCAGTCAACAGGGATTCTCTATCATGTCTGCGCTGTCATTCACATGAACACAGTAGCACACCGCCAAGTGCACGCACATATAGGGAGGAATAGGTTCCCTTCTGAGTTCTGCTCAGAACTCAGAAGAGAACCAGAAGGGATGAAAGTATAATTGTCTGAGTCTGTATTTGATATTTGTCCAAAACAAGACCAGATCACACTTAAAACATTTTTGAATTTAACAAATAACAGTCATGCAGTGTAGAAACACATATATATAGGTTGTAGAAATGCTATGATGTCAGGAATGTTAGAAATGTAATTTTATAAAGTCAATTTTACTATTTCAAACACATTTGGCCAACCTGCCAAATGTGTGTGGATTTCAGTTTTGGCGGACTCTACTGGCTAATTTAGTTGGTTGGATTCACTTTTTTAGTTGTAGTTTTCTCAAATGTAATCATGCACATCTACCTGTTTCTCTCTGACATCACATCTCACATGAGCAAAAGCCTGTGCAGGGTTTTTGCTAATTGGTATGTTTTTCGTGACCGCTGTCACTTGAGAAAGGTGAAGTGAAGAACAAATTTGTAAAGATATTATGACACATTCAAACTCGTAGTCCGTACAACAGACAAACAATCCCAAATATATATATATATGGTACTGAACATATATCCCTATAAACGAAATAAATAACTGTCATACTCTGTGGTCTAGGTGCAGGTCTGTGTTTTCATTCTCCCTCTCCTCTGCAGGGCTGGACGGGCAGGTGCATTCAATCAGAGCTAATTACCAGTCTTCATAAGGAGCTGAAACCGGGAGGAGGGCGTCAGTTCATTTAAGCTTCTGGGTGGTACAGACCAACTCTTTGTTAGCCTCTTTTCTGTGGGACCTAACCTAACCTCGTCCCTGTGATTTCCTTCCAGAAAGCCATCCAGTTTAAGGCCTGGAAACCCAAGCCTCGAATCAGAGTCTGAGAGACACCTGGAACGCTCTCTTTCCAGAGAAGAACCCCAGATCCATCGGTCAGCCCTCCTGCCTGCGCTCGCCTACCTGTCCACCCTCCAACAAACCAACACTGAGAGAGAATCTGGACCTGCACCAACAACCTGGACCACCGAACATCACTTCTTCCCCCACACCAAGCCCTAGCCGCCACCTCCGTGAGTTCACCATCCAAACCAAATTCTCACAAATCCCAACGCTCAGTTTATTCACCATCCTCCCTATCTTTTCCAGCAGAACTCACCAGACCTCCGAACAGCCGAAATCCTATCTTGTCCATTTCCATTTTTTCAATAAACTTTTTCTCATAATCCAACTGTCTCAGTTTTGCGCCTCTTCAGAGTCACACGTTCTAATCATGACATAAAGGAAATAATTGAGAATGTCTTCAATTCAGGTAATCTCAAGGCACTTCACAGAGACAGTTCTCCCTTCTCTCGAAGGTAAGCCAGCTGATTGCATTGACTTGACGGCAATCCTTCACACTGACCATGCATGTAGTGAGAGTGGAGAGGAAAACTACTTTTAAATAATTTAAGAAACCTCCAGCAGGACCAGGCTCAGTGTAAGACTTCTGTTCAAGGAGAGGTTCAAGCAGATGGAAGCAGAAGTACAAAAGGAAGCAGATATAATCAGGTCTTCCAAATCTTATTGTTTACCTTGGAAGTTTTAGCCATTTTTTTTACATGAATTATGACCTGAAGCAAGTAGATTATGCTTATGCGGGAGAACGCTGCAGTTCTTTGATTCCTCTTTCCCATCCGTGCTGTGTGTTGCTCCTTTCTGGTGTGTGGGAGTGTGCTGGAATTTGTGTCAGTCTACTCTCATAGAGCTCTCAAATATCAGTTTTTCTGATGTGTTGTCCATAAATATTTGAAGTGGAAAGGGCTTAGCTGCATTGTGGGACAGATCTAATTAACCCAAGACTTCCAAAGTCTGCCTCCATCTGTTGAGCTGAGTGGTGGTTCCAAAGATTGAAAATATACCTCCTTAAAAAGCTTTAAAGTAGCCCTAAATGACACTTTTACCTTATATCTTATTCCAAGTCACAGATATGCTTATCTATGTTTATGAGAAGATTAATGGTTCTGTCGTTTCACCCTACTGTCTCTGGCTAGAAAACCATACCTGTAACTTTTTATGCCGTTAATCTGGTGGTGTCTCTGTTCTTCCTCTTTGGGAAGACAAAAAGCCTTACTGCAGCACAATGAAGGCCATTAGCATCAATAGCCAGATACACCGCACTGTGCTACTTGAAGATGATCATTGATTAATTTTGGATTTGGGAAGTATATAGCATGGCAGACCCAACAGAAAGAGGTAAAAAAACCTATATTCAAAGAGGAAAGGAAGAGAAAATGAAAATCAGATTACAACAGGGCTTGTACAAGAAGGAATTTGTGCAAGGTGTCAACTCTGATATAGACCCATCAGTGCCAGCATGCCACTAACACTAAAACATGAGACACGAATGGACTTAAAGACTGAACAGTCGGCAAGGTTAGATGGAGTCTATTTGAAGGATCTCGGTCAGGCAGGCGGGGATCAGGTGTTTATGGGGCTATCCTCAAAATCAGGTGTCAGGCATGCTGGAGGTCGTAATCGGCGAGTCCAAGGCAGCAGATGAGGGAAGAGGTTTAGGTAGACGAACTGGACAAGGGAGAAGAATCGGCAGGTTATAAGAGGCTCAAACTTGGCTTCATCAAACTAGACAGAAAGTGTTACCACTGGGATTAGAAAACAATCTGACCCCAGGCTCACACCGACTCCGGTCTTACGGTTGCGGTGCGGTGGGTGTGGCGCCGCAGAGATTCCAAGTCATTAAAAAGACGTAAACCTCTCTCACCGGCTGCCTAGCTGTCCGGCTGCGGTTACCGAGACACTCCGGCGCTGCAGAAAATTCCGCAAGAAAGCTATCCTTGCGGCGTGCCGGAGCCCTCCGCAACAAGCTCTCGCAAATATCCTTATTTGGGCCGTGTTATCGCGTGAAGTTACGTGAACTCAAGTGAACTTCTGTTAAATCTCCGGACCTGTTGCCGGAGCCGCAGAGCCGCACCGCACCGTAGTCAAAAGGGCGGTGTGAGAGGGGGTGTTATGTTTGTAGTTTTATATTTTTTTCTTTTATGCTACTTTGATTGGGTTACATTTTTAGTAAGACTAATGTAACTACTTGTTATTCTGACTCTTGTTGTAAAAATCGATTTTGAGAGGCCTTTATTTTGACATCCAGCTAGACAGGAAGTTGTTAGAGGATGTGTTACAGGAGTCAGTTTGAGCCTGTCTGCAGCAGAGACAGCTGCCTTCATCTTCCACTCTTAATGGGTTACAGTTTGTTTCCATGCTTGTTCAAGCAACGTCTGTAAGTATTTTGTTTTAGAATCTGACACATTTTGGTGTTAAAAATGCCATAACAAATGTATAGTGGAGTTCAGCTAAATTGTAATTCATGTATATTCATGTACAATTCTTGACGTATATTTTGTATATGTTTGTATTTCAGTTTCACAAAGTAAAGATTCAGTAAATTCACAACAAAGAATCTGCTTTTGTGGAGTTGCTGAGTATCTGTTTAGCTGCTTGGATAGCTAACTCTTAGCGAGGCCAAGACAGTGAAAAGACGGCATCACAGCAAGCACGGAGCAGCGCTGTTTCAAAGCTAAGTGGCAAACAAACTCACAAGTGGCTTACATCTACTGAACTGTCTTTCAAGCACTTTTTAAATGATGGAGCGCAGACCTTCAGCAAAATTTGAGACACAATCATTAGCATCTCATAGCGTCCAAGCTTCAGTTAGCTCCAGATCTAACATTGTGCTTTTGCAAGCTAAAGCGAAAGCTGAAGCAGCTCAAACTAGAGCAACATTCATGAAAAGGGAGGCAGAAATTAAACTGGAGCAAGCACGTCTGCAAGCCGCACTTGATTCGCTCAGAGCAGACGAAGAGCTAGAAACAGCAAGAGCTGAAATGCAAACATTAGAAGCTGGATTAATGGAAATGGGCTATGAGATAAGGAGTAATGCCTCTAGTTCAGATCTAGAAGAAGCTACAAAGCAACTTGTTTCCAAATATGTACTGGAACAAAGGAGTGTCACTACAGGTGCCACACCATATCAGATGAGGAGTGCAGATGCAGATAGCATGTCAAATTGCTATGCTGCTACAGATCAACAAGCGCCAATAAATCACACAGCTACTGATTATGGCCCGCCTCCTCTTCTAAGCACCCCGAGAGTTAATAGTACACTACCTCATTCAAGTAATGGTCCTCCACCTGTACCAGCTCCGCGGCGTTCTAGCCTCAGAGTGCCTGACCGTACAGATTACCAGTCTTTCAATCTCACCAGTGATCTTGCTAAATTTTTAGCTCGCAGCCACATGGTAACCTCAGGGCTCAGTCCCTTTGATGATAAGCCCATAAATTACTGGGCATGGAAGGCATCATTTAAGAGCGCAATAGCTGGCTTAGATCTGTCAGCAACTGAAGAGCTAGATCTTCTTGTGAAGTATCTAGGCAAGGACTCAGCTGAGCAAATCAAACGAATTAAAGCCGTTAACATCCGACACCCACCAGCCGGATTGTCATTAGCCTGGGAACGGCTCGAGGAGACATATGGCTCACCTGAAGCTATGGAGCATGCACTTTTTTCAAAGGTGGAAAAGTTTCCCAAGGTTTCATCCAACGATCCATGGAAGCTGCGTGACCTAGCAGATCTACTGTCAGAGCTGGAATATGCAAAGTTAGATGGCAGTCTACCAGGCCTGTCATACTTAGACACTGCCAGAGGCATACACCCCATAGTGGAGAAATTGCCTCACAACATACAAGAGAAGTGGATATCACATGGCTCAAAATACAAACGCACCCATCTAGTCAGCTTTCCACCGTTCTCTGTGTTTGTGAAGTTTGTTCTCACAGAGGCTAAAGCACGCACAGACCCCAGTTTTAGTCTCTTTGCTTCTTCGTCTACACCTGCAAATGTGAAAAAGAGCTATTCAGACTGGTCAGCCAAAACACCTGTAGCGGTCCACAAGACGCAAGTCTCTTCTACTGGAGAGTCAACCAGTGAGAACGAGAGCAGTGCAGTGAACCCAAGCAAACAGTGCCCGATCCATCAAAAGCCTCATCCGCTCAAAAAGTGTCGCGGGTTCAGACTGAAGACAATGGACGAGCGTAAGCAGCTCCTTAAGAAGTTCTCCATCTGTTTCCGTTGTTGTTCCTCCACGCAACACCTGGCTAGAGATTGTACAGCTGAAATTAAATGTACAGAATGTGAGAGTGATGCTCATGTATCAGCACTCCACCCTGGTCCTGCCCCTTGGTCATCCAAAGCGTCTCTTCCCCCAGCAAACCATGGCGGGGAGGGTGACAAAGCGGACAGCCAAGAGGTAACTTCAAAGTGTACACAGGTGTGTGGAGAAGGAGTAAGCCCACGGGCATGTTCCAAAATCAGCCTAGTCAATGTGTACCCCGCTGGATGCCAAGAACAGTCCAAGACAATGTACGTCATTTTGGACGATCAGAGCAATCGCTCTCTTGCTCGCTCCAAGTTCTTTGACATCTTTCAGATCAAGGGATCTTCGCATGCATACACATTAAAGACATGTGCAGGGCTAACGGAGATGTCAGGAAGAATGGCTTCTGGGTTCATCATAGAGTCAGCAGACAAGAAGCTGAGTCTTTCCCTACCTACTCTCCTTGAGTGTGACCAGCTCCCCAGCAACCGCTCTGAAATACCTACACCAGAAGCTGCACGCCACCACACTCACCTGAAGTCTATTGCAGATGAAATCCCACCTCTGGATTCCAATGCCGACATCCTCCTGTTGTTAGGCCGAGACATCCTTAGGGTGCACAAAGTCAGGGACCAGATCAATGGTGTGGGCAACTCTCCATTTGCACAGAAGCTGGATTTGGGGTGGGTAATTGTTGGAAACGTTTGCCTTGGATCCACCCACAGACCTCTTGAGGTAAAGAGCTTCAAGACCACAGTGTTGGAAAATGGTCGTACAAGCTGTCTTCAGCCTTGCAGTGGTCAGATGAAGGTGAAAGAAACCTTTACAGAGAAGCCCAATAGTCGTCATCAGCCAATGCTTAGCCGAGTGCACAGTGCGATGACACCTCTCAATAGTGAGAGTCTGGGTCAAGGAATCTTCAATTGCACCTCAGACGACCACAAACTCGGACCCTCAGTTGAAGACATCAAGTTCCTGCGAATCATGGGTGAGGAGTTCCATCAAGATGAAGCCAACAACTGGGTTGGTCCTCTACCTTTCCAGTCACCAAGAAGGCGGCTACCCAACAACAGACAACTCGCCTATGACCGGCTCATGTCCCTACGACGGTCATTGGACAAGAAGCCTGCTATGAAGACGCACTTCTTGGATTTCATGGAGAATATGCTCAAGCGACAACATGCAGAGATTGCACCACCACTCCAAAGAAACAAAGAGTGCTGGTACCTACCTCTATTCGGAGTCTACCATCCGAAAAAGCCGGACAAGATCCGCATCGTCTTCGATTCCAGTGCAGCCTATGACGGAGTGTCACTCAACGACGTCCTCATTACAGGCCCCGACCTCAATAACAGCTTGGTGGGCGTCCTCATGAG